CCCAACATACGCCGGAAAGACAAAACCACCCCCCCCCGCCAAAACTATCATTGGATAGTCCAGCAGGAGAAAGACGTTGCATTGATTTCGCCAGATGAATGTGGAATGCTAGTCTCTACCTGGACTTGAGAGGAGTAAACTAAATTAAAACAAAACAAAACATTTTAGCTGTTTTTTTTTTAGTTGATATTTTCAATAAATATCATTTTGTTTATAATTTGTATATGAAGTTTTGATGTTTGAATTGATTAATTAAAGTGTGATTTTGTTTCTGAAGTCTCTTTTAAATCACTCTTATTTCCTGTCCCGTTTTGTCTCTGGACTTGACACAAAGTTGACCATTTAAAGTCCATAGAGTGGAACGATGTGTCCTCCTTGGGTATGACCCTCCCCGCCCTTAGTTCCTCTCTTGACCGCTAGAAGCCGCCAATTTTAACCTCAGCCGTTCCGCTACTAGCAGTCTCGTTAAACTGTTGAGCAGTGAAATGATTGGATTGGTCGGCAGGGATCCAAAGAATTTAGTTTGTGTGCCTACGTAGACAAACTTCTTTGTTTTATATGATGATGGATTAATTCCAAATTACACTCAGGCCAGTAACTACTAAACTTAAATAGGTGGCGCTATAATGGTCAGTATGTTAACCAAATGTCCATCACCTGGTAATTTAGTGAGAATGACATTACACCTTCATGATCTTGACTTTATATTAGTCAAATTGCGTATCATATTGTAAATTAATCAGATATTGCTTAATATGTGTCGTATCTTTATTATTTGACCTTCAGGATCTTTATTATCAACACTTTTCGATCATTACATTTATCAGCACCATATACAATTACAATTATGATGTCATTTTACCTGTAAACACATACTCCCAGTGGACAGTGTCATCAAAAACATCACATCAGTCACACTTATTACACGTTCAAGATCTTGACTTTATATTAGTCAAATTGCGTAGCATACTGTATAGTAATCAGATATTGCTTAATATGTGTAGTATCTTTATTATTTGACCTTCAGGATCTTTATTATTTGGAGTGTTATGCTGGTTGAGAAGAATAAACAGTTTATTTAGCAACAGTGGGTACATTTTTGGCAATAATTTGGCTCCATAATTTTTCAAAAATTATTCAATTAACCCCCTTTCCCATTTAGGGGCGAACATTTGCGAAGGTAGCGAACGTTGCCAAACATTCTCCAGATGCTCGCCAGACATTTTAGTGAGTCGACTAAAAAAGCTGTACAGTGTGTAAAATGTGGTGGTGTATTTGTAGGTGTCGGAAGGTAAGATGGATAACGCCAAGGGGCTCTTCTACAAAGCCTTGCAGAATATTCCCTGGGTGAAGGTATGTCACAGGCAGGACCTGTCTTCTTTTTTCCTAATGCAAAGTAAAAGCAGTTGAACCAGCGTGCATTAACCCTTTCATGCACCCTGTAACCTGATAACATGATAAGCTGTCCACTGTAGTAACCGCTGTCCCTGAAAATGGTGTAATACATTGAAAAATGTTTGTTTCACCAGGGCTTGTACATGGATGCAGTGCAGCTATTTCCTGAGCACATCCAGGAGTTTGTTGACCTGATGACAGAGAAAGAGCTGCGAGTTCGGTTGCCGTTAGAAGAACTCGACATACTGCTGGAAGACTGAAACAAACTCCCCCGCCAAAACTATCATTGGATAGTCCAGCAGGAGAAAGACGTTGCATTGATTTCGCCAGATGAATGTGGAATGCTAGTCTCTACCTGGACTTGAGAGGAGTAAACTAAATTAAAACAAAACAAAACATTTTAGCTGTTTTTTTTTTAGTTGATATTTTCAATAAATATCATTTTGTTTATAATTTGTATATGAAGTTTTGATGTTTGAATTGATTAATTAAAGTGTGATTTTGTTTCTGAAGTCTCTTTTAAATCACTCTTATTTCCTGTCCCGTTTTGTCTCTGGACTTGACACAAATTGACCATTTAAAGTCCATAGAGTGGAACGATGTGTCCTCCTTGGGTATGACCCTCCCCGCCCTTAGTTCCTCTCTTGACCGCTAGAAGCCGCCAATTTTAACCTCAGCCGTTCCGCTACTAGCAGTCTCGTTAAACTGTTGAGCAGTGAAATGATTGGATTGGTCGGCAGGGATCCAAAGAATTTAGTTTGTGTGCCTACGTAGACAAACTTCTTTGTTTTATATGATGATGGATTAATTCCAAATTACACTCAGGCCAGTAACTACTAAACTTAAATAGGTGGCGCTATAATGGTCAGTATGTTAACCAAATGTCCATCACCTGGTAATTTAGTGAGAATGATATTACACGTTCAAGATCTTGACTTTATATTAGTCAAATTGCGTAGCATACTGTATAGTAATCAGATATTGCTTAATATGTGTAGTATCTTTATTATTTGACCTTCAGGATCTTTATTATCAACACTTTTCGACCATTACATTTATCAGCACCATATACAGTACAATTACAATTATGAAGTCATTTTACCTGTAAACACATACTCCCAGTGAGGACAGTGTCATCAAAAACATCACATCAGTCACACTACACTACTCACTGAATTGTCTATAAAAAGTCCACCTCCATAAATATCTTAGCTCACTGTACAGTGTGTAAAATGTGGTGGTGTATTTGTAGGTGTCGGAAGGTAAGATGGATAACGCCAAGGGGCTCTTCTACAAAGCCTTGCAGAATATTCCCTGGGTGAAGGTATGTCACAGGCAGGACCTGTCTTCTTTTTTCCTAATGCAAAGTAAAAGCAGTTGAACCAGCGTGCATTAACCCTTTCATGCACCCTGTAACCTGATAACATGATAAGCTGTCCACTGTAGTAACCGCTGTCCCTGAAAATGGTGTAATACATTGAAAAATGTTTGTTTCACCAGGGCTTGTACATGGATGCAGTGCAGCTATTTCCTGAGCACATCCAGGAGTTTGTTGACCTGATGACAGAGAAAGAGCTGCGAGTTCGGTTGCCGTTAGAAGAACTCGACATACTGCTGGAAGACTGAAACAAACTCCCCCGCCAAAACTATCATTGGATAGTCCAGCAGGAGAAAGACGTTGCATTGATTTCGCCAGATGAATGTGGAATGCTAGTCTCTACCTGGACTTGAGAGGAGTAAACTAAATTAAAACAAAACAAAACATTTTAGCTGTTTTTTTTTTAGTTGATATTTTCAATAAATATCATTTTGTTTATAATTTGTATATGAAGTTTTGATGTTTGAATTGATTAATTAAAGTGTGATTTTGTTTCTGAAGTCTCTTTTAAATCACTCTTATTTCCTGTCCCGTTTTGTCTCTGGACTTGACACAAATTGACCATTTAAAGTCCATAGAGTGGAACGATGTGTCCTCCTTGGGTATGACCCTCCCCGCCCTTAGTTCCTCTCTTGACCGCTAGAAGCCGCCAATTCGCACTTTGTACCAGTTGGTGGCGGTAATGCACATCGTTTTCCAACCGCCGTGAAAGTCAATTAGAAGAACAGAATCAGTGCGGAGGAATACGTCCGAGTGTGGTGGAGTGATTCGACTCACCTTTCAGAGCACACGCTCCATTTGCTCTCCGCTGGCAGACAACCACGCACAAGTGCACCGCCACCAATGGTGAGTATGAGTGAACTTTTACAGTTGCGGGAACTGCGTAAATGCCGGCAAAGCCTAGCAAAGCTAACATCAAGCTCTCTTACGGGGTAGCGTTGCCGATAATGCAATAAGTTAGATATTTTAGTACAGGGCCATTTAAAAAAAAAAAAAAAAAAACTTTCTTGTTCTAGTGCAGGGGTGTCAAACTCATTTTTAGAATTACGTCTTCCCTCGGAGGGCCGTTACGACAGTGAATCTGAATCAATGTTTAATCATCACATCGTATTGTTACTTGTACACACACACAAACACAAAAAAACAATGGCTCTCTAGTTTTGAAATCCAGTCAGACTATTTGTTCAATTAATGTTCAAGTGAGTGTAAACCGCTAAATTTGAGATTTCGGTACGGATTTAAGCAAGGGTCATGGAAGTTGACACATATGATTTGCTTTCGCGGGCCACATAAAATGATGTGGTGGGCCGGATCTGGCCCCCAGGCCTTGACTTTGACACTTGTGTTCAAGTGGTATGATTTTTTTGTTGTATTGACGATTTGGTCGATATCAGTGGTTGCCACTGCGCTCGTGTGCACGCGCACGCACGCACGCACACACGTACACACTCGCACACACACGGAGTACAGCTCCTCAAGTTTGCTTGGAATCGTGTGTAAAGTGTAAATAGGAACTTATAAATCAAGGTGTCGTGATGACACTCCTTGTGTTGAATTGGTGGCATTAAGATGAAGTTGTCTTTGGAATATATTCAATTGTGGTACAGTATTTGGGGTGCTGCCGGTTTGAATTCCTTTTACGCGACTAACGTTCCATGGTTTAACACACCTAAAAATGACTCCCCCCAAACCGGTTTGGTTAAAACTGGAGTAGTCTGGCAAAGCCTCTTCAAAACCAGTTGGACAAGTGCAGCAAAACTACTTCACACCGGACTGATTCTGCCTTTGTGTGACTGATGTAGACTAGAATGTGTCAGATATTGATATTTTCTTTGTTGGAATTGCGTTTCCACCAAATCTATTAACACACCGGATTGGTTTCATTTCTAAAAGTCCATGGTCAGTAAAACAGATTATTTTCCACTCAGTGTAATTCTCCATGAGTATTCAAGGGAATGATAATTGAGGCTCTGAAGACAAAGATGTGAGCTGTTCTCGAATGTTGCTTGATGTAAAAAGTCTCCAAGCATATAACATGAAGTGAGTAATCTTCATTCCAGGCGCAATGACTCAGTGCCTGCTTTTTGTCTGCTTCTATCATGACCACTTGTAACATTATCCTATAGAACAAAAAAAAAAAAAGTTGTACATAAGAGATTTTAGTTCACATTTCCTCCTTTTTTGAACAGCTTTGTACTGCTTTACGGTGTACTGGTGTAACACTTGATTTTTCCCTCTGGGATCAATGAAGGATTATCTTAAAACTGTGGCAAAACCATCAAGAATGTCAGCAATGTTTTCAATAACGTGCGACCGTTTCAGGGTGGACCTTGCCTTCCTCCCAAAGACAGCGAGGATAGGCCCCAGCACGCCCGTGATCCTTGCAAGGATGAGCCATTCAGAGTATGGATGCTTGCATGTAGGGTGTTGAAAAGTGTATCACGAAATAAGTCTTTCATATCAGTTGATTTCAAAAAAATTTTTTAAACTCTTCAAATTAAGGACAAGGAGGAAAAAAAATGCTTCATTTTATTTTAAAATATTATAATGAATCTGAATTTGGAGGTCACCACAACTATAAGAGAGTCAAAAGAACTGGCCAATTTAAAGATTCATAAACGTCTTGAGAAACATAATGTGCTGAGCCAATCACAACCTACGTATTTCATATCAATCTATCGATTATTATTGCACATTGTTTCCAACTTTTTAAAAAAAGAAAAACAATTACGCTGATTAAAGATGAAATTTTAAAAAATAATAATAATACACAGCTATTGTGAGGAAAAATACCATTCAGAAAAGTTGGTTGTAAAACACACTTTTGCGCTCCAAATTTCTTCTTTGGTGCTTGTAATGGTGGCACAAATCTACCGTCAAATCGTGACCTCTGCCTAGAGCACACAGAATGACGGGGTCGACGTTTGCTTCCTGATTTAAAAAAAAAAAAAAATTTTATATCACATTATTATTATCATTATTATTGTTATTATTATTGAATATATAATATCAGCCTAACCCTAACTACTGGACCACCGGGACGTCCAGTGCTTAGTGCGTCAACCTCACAGTGCAGAGGTACCGGGTTCAGTTCCACCTCCGGCCTCCCTGTGTGGAGTTTTCATCCCCTGGGCCTGCATGGCTTTTCTCCGGGTACTCCGGTTTCCTCCCACATTCCAGAAACATGCATGTCAGGCTGATTGAGCACTCTAAATTGTCCCTAGATGTGATTGTGAGCGCGGATGGTCGTTCGTCTATGTGTGCCCTGCGATTGGCTGGCAACCGGTTCAGGGTGTCCCCCATTTACTGCCCGAAGACAGCTGGGATCGGCTCCAGCACCCCCCGCGACCCTTGTGAGGATTAAGCGGATCAGAAAATTGATGGATGGATTGATGGATATTGCTCAGCCAGAGATGGATGGATGTTTAATATTCCTGTCATCCATTGTCATACCTGTCAACTCATACGGTTTAGCCACAGTTCATACGGATTTTGTGGTGAATCTTACGTATATGGCCATATCTCACAAATCATACGGATTCTGAAAATTTCCGTTTTTTTTTTTTTTTTTCC